AGCACTTTGGGGTTGAGGGGGATTCATTTGATCTTTATTTCTGGTGTTTTTTTTGAGACAGAGCCTCACCTCATCACTCTTGGTAGAGTGCCATGGCATCATAGCTCACAGCAACCTTGGGCTCAAGCGATTTTCTTGCCTCAGCCTTCAGAGTAGCTGAGACTACAGGGGCCTGCCACAGCATTTGCCTATTTTTAGAGATCAGGTCTTGCTTTTTCTCAGGCTGATCTCAAACTCCTGAGCTCAGGCAATCCACCCATCTCAGCCTCTCAGAGGGCTAGGATTACAGGCCATGGCACCTGGCCTGATCTGTATTTCTTTACTCTGGGTAGTGTGCGGGATCTGTGTCAGCCTTGCAGACAGATACTTGTGATAGCCTTGGGTGACAGATTTTAGTCAAATAGGAATCAAAAGTAAATATAATTTAGGTGTGCATTTATTGAGTCTCCTAAGACTTGGGGAAAGCTTGGGAAGGTGTGTGGAAAGGAGCCTAACAGATAGTAGGTGCTCAACAAATGCTCAAAATAATTGAATATGATGGATGCATGAAGGGCTAACATTGAGAATGTGCTGGGCTGGTTTCAACAACTGGCCTTCATTGTGTGTTTATCAATCTACATGCCAGAGGGGGTCTGTGCCAATTAACTACAAAAGTGTTCTGCAATTCAGTAGCCACTAGCCATCTGTGGTTATTGAGCACCTGACATGTGGCTAGACTGAATTGACATGTGCAGTTAATACACACTGGATTTTGAAGATTTAATATGAAAAAAAGAAGGCAAAAATCTCATAAATAATATTTATATTGGGCCTGGTGTGGTGGCTCATGCCTGTAATCCTAGCACTCTGGGAGGCCAAGGTGTAGGGACAGCTTAAGGCCAGCCTGAACAAGAGCTAGACCCTGGATTCACACAAAGAAAGAAAGAAAGAGAGAAAGAGAGATAGAAAGAGAGAGAGAGGAAGGAAGGAAGGAAGGAAGGAAGGAAGGGAGGGAGGGAGGGAGGGAGGGAGGAAGGAAGGAAAGAAAGAAGGAAGGAAGAAAGAAACTCAGCCAGGTGTAGCTGCGTTCTTCGCCTATAGTCCAGCTACTTAGGGAGGCTGGACAGGAGAACTGCGGGAGTCCAGGAGTTTGAGGCTGCAGTGAGCCATGATGATGCCACTGCCCTCTAGCCTAGGCTACAGAAAGCGACTCTGTCTCAAAAAAATAAAATAAAATAAAATTATATTGATTATATATTGAATACTAATATTTTGATATGTTAGGGATAAATAAAATACGTTCATATCTCACCTACTTTTTCCTACTTTTAAAACGTGACTTCCTGCTCTTTAAAAGAAATATGACTGGTGGAAAATTTAAAATTATCCACGTGGTTTGCATCATATATTTATTGGGCAGCGCTGGTCTAGACTTTAGAGACAAACCAGGCAATGAAACATCTCTGCTTTAAAAGTGAAAACTGCCTCTTTGCCGTCGACGATCTTTTGAGTCTAGAAAGATAGCATGTACTCTTACTGGAGTTAGGTGATATCTCAAGGTAGTTTTGATTTGCATTTCTCTAATGATTAAGGATGGTGAGCATTTTTCATATATCTATAGGCCGCATTGCATTAATGTATAGAGCTATCATTTAATAAAAAAAAAAAAAAAAAAGATAGCATGTACTCCTTGCCTGGGCTGCCCTGGGGCCGGCGGGGCGGGGCGGGGCGGGGAGCGAGGACCACGGGGAAGCGATGCAGCTGTGAGCTGCTGGCTTTGCTGTGCCTCTTCCAGGACACCCCAAGAACTGACTCTAGAGAGGGATTTAACCCTTAACTCCACGGCGGAAGTAAGACTGGCCAGGTCCGGGCTCTGAGCAAAAATCACCCAGCGACCCGCCCCTCCCCCCGCGCCCCTGCACCGCCTCCCCACCTCTGCTCGAGCCTCGCACTGCACAGGAGCTTTCCTGATTTCCCGCATTTGAGATTTCCCTGTGGGTTTGGGACTTAGCTCTAAAAGGACAGTGAGGCCTGAACAGGACCAGAAACCTTTTGAGGACAAGCCCCGCCTGCACCGCCCGGCCATTCTCCCGCCGGGCTCAGGCTTCACACACGGTGCGTGAAGTCCCAGCCGTGATTTATCTGGAAGCCCTGGAAGAAAGGTGGGGGGGGGGGGCTCTCTGAAGCGCCCTGTCCGCGCTTCCAACTTCGGATGTCCTGTCTCCGCCTCCGAGCCCCCGGGAGCCGGCGCTGGTCCCCGCGGCCTGCGGTGTCCTCTCCGCCGCGGAGTTTTGTTTCCCAGCCTCGGAAAGAGAAAGGAGTGGGGGTGCCCGGAAGCCGCCTGGGTCACCCAGGTCCTGACCCTTCCTGCAGCGATTCAGTTTGCTCCCTCCGTCTTCCATTCCCTACCCGGGCCTAGGCAAAGGAGGAGCAGCTGGACTTCCAGGGAAATCCCTTGGAGTCTCTCTCCCTCCCTCGGCAGCGCTCGTCCCGGCGGGAGCAGAACTGTAAAAACGGAGCATGAGAGCCGCCCCGCCCTTCGCAGACCGCGGCTACTGCCCGGGGAAGCTGGACCAGGGCGGATCACAGCTGGAGGCAGGACGCTGAGCCCAGGGTCCACAACGCAAGGCGAGGCACGCGAGCTGAGGAGGCGGTGTACCCCTCCCCTCCTGCGATCCTTCAAGCCTTCTGTGAGGAGCGTAAGGCTGAGTTCTGAGCAAGGGGTTGCAGAGCCCTAACTCAAATATAAGTGTCACCTGAAGACGTTTGTGCTGCCTTTGCTCTCTAAGGGACATTCAGCAAACTCTTCCACTACTGGGGCTGAAGTTAGTCCCCGCCCCAGAAGGAAACCGAAATCCCGCCCCCCAGGCTAGGTGCAAACCTATGCTGTCCGTGCGGGGATGAAGCATAGGGCGCGCGCAGGCACAGGGCAAAGCCTGGTTGTTCACTGGCTCTGCTCTCAATGAGCCTTTTTGGCCTTAGGAGACAAGGCGGCTTGATTTCCACTGGTCAGATACAGTAAGCTCACAATGGAAGGGAGGTAGACGTGGGTAACATATGGACTGTCACACCCCATTGCCTCTTCACCAGGCTCCTCCGTCTCCCCTTAGCCCTGCATGAGATGATGGACCAGGGTTTGGAGGTAGGGAAGGACTTCTAGAAAGTCTACGATCTTCCTTTCCATAGCCACCTGCTCCCACGTTTTCAGTACTATATATACATGTATATATGGATATATATAGTGTATATATGCAGATATAGTGTATATATGGATATATATAGTGTATATGTGGATATATAGGGTATATATGGTGTGTATATAGTATACATATATATGCAGATATAGTGTATATATGGATATATAGTGTATATATATGGTGTGTATATAGTGTATATATGGATATATATAGTGTATATATATATTTAAATCACATTTCTGACATCAGGACAAAGCATTCTGACTTCATTTAGATGTCTATTAGCCAATATCTTATTTTCAAATCTCCCCCACCTCCCTTCCTCCTTTCTCTCACTCTTTTCATCCTCATGCCATTTACTAGTTCATCTGTTTGGAATAGAATGCTCCTACTTCCAGGAGCACTGTAGTTTGGGGCCTAATTGAATCTGGTAATTAATTTGTTCTACCTGCTAGATCAGATGGAAATCCTACTCATGCGCCCAAGGATTAGCACTTGGCTTTATAACACCTCCTCTAATTATCTAATAGCATGGGTTGCGAGGACTCAGTCTCTATTAAAACACTTTTACTATTAGCAGTAGTGATTGGAATTGTGATGACGACTAGATTTCAAAAAATTAGAGCTTAAAAACGGGGAGATGGAAGAGAAGTGGCTTCTTTTAATTTCCCTGAGTTTAACATCAATAATTAGAGCAATTTCCAGAGATGTGAGCTGAAATTACCCCTGCTGTGTTGAAGATGATCACCTTAATTTTAGCAAATTGATTCTAGGGAAATAAATGTGACAGATTAGAAAAAGACAAACAGGAAAAAAAAAAAAACCCCAAAAGATAGGGAGGGATGGAAATGAAGATGGAAGGGGAAAGGAATGGGAAATGAAAACCTAGTTCAATCTTGGGGAGCTAGGGTTGGAAAAAGTAATGCGCATGTATTTCAGGAAAATGCAAACTATGTGAGTGAAATGAGGAGAAAGTAATGGAAATTTGAAGGGAGGTAGAAGATAGCATGAGGAGGCGGGTCTGGACAGATTAATGCAGATCAAATAACTTGACTCATGTAGCTCTAACCCTCTTCCTGCCTACTCCCCATAACTGAAGTAAAGACTTACCGTCCTCATCATCATGATCTTTAGTTTTTAATTTACCTCAATAATCCAGTCATCCCTCAGCCATCAAGTTAAGTTGAATCTAGCAAATTAAAGTAGTGGACACTCTTTATCTTCCCTTTTCTTTTCCTTTTGCTATCTATATCAGTCACGGAAACTCTGAAAATCCAGGCCTAAATGCTGAGAATAAGTGCTTGATCCCTATTGCTCTGCAACAGGCTATTTCAGTGTCTTTTCCTCTTCAAAGAGGAGTTTGTCGGACAACAGAGATTTTTTACTTTTAACTTTCTTTTAAAATGGCTGGGACAGAAGCAGCTCTTGCCTTGGCAGAGCAGAATTAGGGCCGCCAAGCCTGTGAGGAGCTGGAACCCTGTGCGCTCTGCTCTCCGCAGGCTTGGCCGGGAGTATTCAGCACCGCGGACAGCTCCCCGCCCCGCCCCGAGCCCACCGCACCCTCCCCTCTGCCTCTGGCAGCCTCGCCATTGGCTCTCCTGGATCCCCTCTCCGAGCTGCCAATTCTCCAACACGTAGACCCAACCTACCCCGGAGCTGGTCTTCTCGCCTCTCCAGCGCCCAGGGTAGCCCAGGCCGAGGAGCGAGCAGCCGAGATTCCAGCTTCGGGGGGTGGCTGCCGGCTTCCCCGGGGCTTGCCGAGTCTCTGCCCGCTTCCTGCATTTCTTCCCCGGCCCTTGCCCTGTGGCAGGTGCTCTGCTCAAGATGAATCTGAACTTCACCTCTCCTCTACACCCAGCGTCTTCTCAGAGGCCTACATCCTTCTTCATTGAGGACATTCTGCTGCACAAGCCCAAGCCGCTGAGGGAGGTGGCTCCCGACCATTTTGCCAGCTCTCTGGCCTCCCGGGTGCCTCTGCTAGACTATGGCTACCCCCTCATGCCCACACCCACTCTCCTGACTCCTCACGCCCATCACCCCCTGCATAAGGGAGACCACCATCACCCTTATTTCCTCACCACCTCGGGTAAGTAACTGGGGTCTCATGGTATGAGCAGTGAGAGACTAGATTTTCTTGTGCAGACCCAATCCTGTGATGAGCTAAGGAAAGGTTGGCTCAGCCTGGCTTGGTGGCCTCCTTCCCTAAAAGAAAGGTTGGGAGTATGTTTGAGAGTCCCTGGAGCTCTCTGAGGCATGCCAACCCACAGGGGTGAGTCATGATCACTCTGCACTTTTTATAAGGGAGATGTGTCCAGCCAGGAGGTAGCTGGAGGTGAATGGGTTTAACATTGCCTTGGTGGCAATGCTCAGTGACCCTACTCATGGTCTTCCTGGCCAGTTTAGTCCATCCCTCAATTCGCATTTTTTCTCCCTCTCTCTGTTCAGAGGTAGATCCTCAACCATCCTGCTCCAAGGAATGGAACTCAACTTTTGGTATCAGTAGCTTGAAATGCTCCTGCAGGTCAGCTGTTTGCTCTCAGGTGCTGAACATTCACAGATCCTGCTGAGGGGCATCGAAGTGAATGAGGGCTGAGATTCTCCAGGGATAAAAGGTTTGGGCTTCCCTGATTAAGAGAGAAAGGGTAAGAAGAAGGGGAGAGGAACACAGCATCGAAACGCTCTTCACCCCCAACACCCAACATTTAACTCACAATCTTCTCTTCTCTGTCCCAGCTGCCAGAGTCTCTGGAATTGGATGGTAAAGGATTTTGATTTCTCTGGCCTGGCAAAAAGTTGGGACTAGCAAAGTCTGGCTGGGACAGGGTGATGTGGGGGAAATGACAAGATTTTTTTCTCTCTCCCCCCCTCACAAGCCACACGCATACTTTTTTCTCCAGCATTTTCATTCTAGCCAGAATAAATTAATTTACTGGGTCCAGTTTCAGGGCGCAGGTAGAAAAAACCCTGGTGGGACAAAGTGTTGGAGGAAGACGGCAGGCAGTTTGTGAAGTGTGGAGGTCGGGAATCCAGAACAAAAGCTGAAAGTGTTTGTGCAGCAGTGAAACCCAGACTCTCTGAGACTCCGGCTTGGAGAGGTAATCCTACAGCCGGCTTCACAGCCCTGTTGGCGGCAGTCTCCTCTCAGTTGCACCGATGTCCCCCCCCCCCCATAGTAGTGACCAATGCTCGCCTTACTGGCACTGGGAATGTATGTGTGTTTCTCTTATGGAATTGCAAATACTGCGTGGGGGCAGATTCTGTCTGCTTGATGTGTCTCAAGACACGAAGTAAAGCTTGCCAGAGTCCCGGGGTCAGGAAAGACAAGAGAAATTTCCCCCATCACGGTCAGGGGAAAAGCTTCAACCTTCCTGCTTTGCTGGGCTTGGAATTGGAAGGATAAGAGAAAAAGAGTAAGGACCCATTGGAGAGCAGACTCGCCAGAGCAGCCCAGAAACTGCCAGGGAAGCATGAGAGGCGGGAATTTCCCCCCTTCTCTCCCCACTGCTTCTCTGGATCAGAGTCGGCTGTGCCCTTTCGGCTGCAGGTGGACGATAAGAAGGAAAAGTGCTTTTTAGTGAGGCAAGCTGTCCACCCTTCTACTAGATTCAGAACAGTAACTATCACCTCGGGGCTGGGAGGATGCAGTGGGAGCAGAGGGAGAGGGGAGGACGCCTCCTGGAACATCTGACATTTGCAAGAAAACTTCTCCAGGTGCCACAGACGACTTGGTACTGGCAGACCCTACAGAAGTCTTTCCAAGAAAAACATTTTAAAAGGCCCCAGGTTCTATTTTCCAGTTTTCTTTTTTTGTTTTATTTATTGTTTATGGTTTGTATTTCTAGAAGACCTTGCAGATAAAGATCTCCAAGCGCTGTTCTTGCTGTTTTTCCCTGCCCTCCCCCCCCCCCCCCGGGGGTTTCTAGGAGAAGGGCTTGAGGGACTTTGGGGCGAGCAGGAGACTGGAGGAGGCACGGAGTGGAGGGAGGCGCTGGGGACTGAGGGAGGGGACGGAGGTGGTTCCCTGGCCATGCGGGATCTGCCCACCTCCGTGCTCTGCTCTCCGCAGGGATGCCGGTCCCGGCGCTGTTCCCGCACCCACAGCACGCGGAGCTGCCAGGAAAGCACTGCCGCCGCCGCAAAGCTCGCACGGTTTTCTCGGACTCGCAGCTCTCCGGCCTGGAGAAGAGGTTCGAGATTCAGCGCTACCTGTCCACGCCAGAGCGGGTGGAGCTGGCTACGGCCCTCAGCCTGTCGGAGACGCAGGTGCGCGGAAGGAGAGGGAAGCCTCGATCTCTGCTTGGTTCTTCTCTCCCAGCTCTTGGTACTCTCAGAGCCCAGTGCGGAGTTCTTCGAGTGTGAATGACCACGCTCCTTCTTATTCTGGGCTTTCCCCCAGATCTTTAGTAAAAGTACCTATACCCCAACCTCATGTCAGACTTACCCAGGCTTAATTTCCGGAGCGGAGCTCTGGACATGAAGGAAAAACTCCTCGGGTGATTCTGATGGTCATCTCCACTTTAGGAACTTATTTTCAGCCTTCCTTATTCCCCTCCGACCAGGGACATACCCAGTCACAGGTAAAATGATAACTAGATGGGTTCTTGTCCTGAGAGAAGATTTTTTTTTCTTATTTCTTCAATCTCAACAGAGGCAGATCTTCTAGGCATCTCCACCCCACCTACCCCGCACACACACTGTGGCCTAAGCCCCTTCCCTGTTCCCCTGTCCCGAGTGGAAGAACTGTTTTCATCTTCCTCCAGGCCCTGTTCACCCGCACCATCAAAAGTCCTTTCCATTTCCCCTCCCTCATGTTCTCTGTACCCAGAAAGGCGACTTGCTGTGAAGTCATTAGTTTTGCCAGGTCTGGGTCTGATATACCTTTTTCTCTCCACCAAGTTCAAGTCTCGCCTTTCTGTCCAGGAGTCTTGCTAGATCAGGTATTTAGATGTCTCAGTCAGAGGAACGTAAGTTCGGCATAAAGGCGCCTCATCTAAGCAGCACTTACTATTAGTAATTATAATTAATGATAGTACTGATAATTATAACCACATCATTTTGATCCGCATTATTCTCGCACGGTTACTCCTGGGGGCCTTAGGAGGTTTGATTCTCATTCAACCTAAAACGATAATTTGTGGGCAGTCGAGGCTGTCATATAATTCGTCAACGGATTGCGGTCCATTTTTCTAAAGCTCAGCAATCGCTCAAATATAGAGGAAAGACATAATTTTATTTTTGTCTCCCTGAAATCAGGTGAAGACGTGGTTCCAGAACCGGCGGATGAAGCATAAAAAGCAGCTTCGAAAAAGTCAGGACGAGCCTAAAGCGCCAGACGGGCCGGAAAGCCCCGAGGGCAGCCCCCGCGGCCCCGAGCCCGCTGCTGCAGCCGAGGCCCGGCTAGGCCTGCCCGCCGGCCCCTTCGTGCTCACCGAGCCAGAGGACGAGGTGGACATCGGGGACGAAGGGGAGCTCGGCTCCGGGCCTCACGTGCTCTGAGCCGCCGGGCTGGGGAGGGTTGGCGCGGGAGCAGACCGCGAAGACCGGCGTGGTTCTTCCCTGGACCGAAAGACTTAGACTCCAGTGTCGCCGCGGGCCTCGTAGATCAGCTCCTGGAAGACAAAACCCAGTGTCAACCTTCAGCCGTGCAGACCCCGCGCAGCCCGCGGCTCGGCCTCACGCCTGCCTCTCCCGCCTGCCTCGTCCCTGCCCCGGGCAAGTGTGCGCCCGGGTTCGCTCATTCCCGCGCCCCGCATGGTCAGCGGCGAGGACCGGCTCAGCACCGTGTCCTAAGCTGAAAATTGGGCTCTCGGCTCTGGATTCGATGGGGGAGTGGTTGATCTCGGTCGCGATCATAGACCCCTTCTCTCATCTCTGGGCCGCTTGCCGCCAACTCCGTCATTCGGATCCCGCGGCCTTTCCGCGCAGACCTTTTGCCGCTCCCACCCACCCCCCTTGAGCAGTTCGATTGGCCGCAGGCCAGGGGCAGCTGTCTCGGACCTTCCTACTCTTGCGGGGATCCAAGCAAAACCATGGCCTGATCTTTCAAAGGCCCAGGGGCAGGACAGACCCGCGCTGGTCACTAACCTCCGACTCGCTTCCGCCCCCTGCCCCCACGCCCCATCTCTGACTCAAGTAGTAGGGTGACCCCTTCTTCTCTGGGCCGCAGCGTACGTTTTCTCCCATCGGTGTTCCCAACCAGAGCTAGGGGTTCTGCACCCCGGCACCCTTCCTGAGCTTGGGGTCCGCAGGCGCCGATGCCCTTTACGCCCTCGCTCCCCTGTACCAAGCGGCGCCAGTGCGCGCGGGGAAACATGAGCAAAAAAAATCCCAGAGTAATCTCTGCTTCCCCAACTCGTTGCGCTCCGGTCTCGAAACTCTTCCACGGCCCACAGGCTACTGATGTTTAAAATGTCAGTTTTCCTCGGGTTGTGTGCGCGAATGCTCATTCTTAGTGCGTGTTAGGGAATATAAAGTTTTACCAGGATTAGGGCGAACGGGGTTTCCGGCGTGCACCTGTCTGGGGGCGAGATTTGGTGGGGGTCTGATTGGTCTTGTGCGTTACTCTCCTCCGCTCCCCACTGGGGGTCTCTTGCTCCCTCTCTCTCTCTGGGTTTGCGGTCTTTTTAGATAATAAAAGTCTATGGGGCAGTACTGGGAACCATCACGCGTTTCCGGGAATTGTTTGTTACCGCGTCCTCCTACACGCACGCTCCTCCCCTCCGCCCCAGCCAGTTTCCTATTGCGGATAGAAATGAACTTGGCTAATAATCTTTCATTAACAGAAGAAGAAGAGCAACTACCAAATTGGATTTAGGAGAATCTTTAAAGTGAGTTGAAATATTGTGTATTTGGGGAAGAGGGTGTGTGTGTAATTTAGGAGGTGAACACAAACTCCAAAGTATCAGGCATTTATCTCTTTCTTCCCCTGCCTCACAACAAGCTGACAGGGATTCTTTTGAGTCTCCAAGGAGCAGGTTTGATGCATTTCATGACCTTTTGTTTTGAAAAAGCAGGTAAACAGGAAAGCTGTTAGCATATGCACAGCTCTGCTTGATTGAAGGCTGGATGAGTTCTGGAGCCCTGGGAATAGCCAAATCTTTGATTCATGAGCATTAAACATGGGACGATGCTCATTCTCCCTCCTCCTGGTCCTCTCTTCTGTGGCTGTTTCTTGTTGGATTCGATGGGAAGGGAAGAGGTCAGAATTGCAACACCAAGCATGCTGATTCTGATGTGGTTTCTCATCAAAAAAGTCCTTGAAATTGGTGGCAAACAGTCCAGTAGCAGAACTCTGGTAGTTCCCTTTTCTAGTCCTCATATAGTTAGGCATGGTGGTAGAGGATAGATACAATTTAGTCTCAATCTAATGTAATCACATGACAACAGTTTTTGATTTTGGTCTTTAATAGTGATCATCC